GAAATGGAGAGGGTCACAGGAGACTGAACTGTGAGGTACCCCGAGGAACCCAGCTCACAGTCAAAACCCATTGCCTTGGAGTCAACTGTAACTCATGGAGACCCTATGTGTGTCTGAGGAGAACTGTGCTCTGGAAGGTTTTCAATGCTGGCTTTTTCAGAAGTATTTCCAGGTGTTTCTTCCAAGGTGTCTCTGGGTGGATTTGAACTACCAGTCTTATGGTTAGCAGCAGGTGAGCATGTTAACTACGTGCATCACCCAAGGATTTCCCACTTCAAGTGTTGTTAGGTGCTGTTGGGTTGGTTCCAATCCGGTCCTGCATCATCCTCACATTTGCTGTTACACTTGAGCCCAGCGCTGCAGTCACTGTGCTGATCCATCTTGTTGGGGGCCTCCCTCTTTTTCTCTGACCAAACATGCTGTCCTGTTCCAGGGACTGGTCCAAAATATGGGAGACGAAGTCTGGCCATCTCGACTTCTAAGTGTGAGAAACTTTGACAGTACCCCGCCCGGACACTGCCTTGGCCTGTCTTAGGCACTAGCGGATCAGTATAAACCCCTGACTTGAACCTTTCCCCAAGGGACTTTGGATGGGGAACTGGGGAAGACTGCGTTATCCTGTATGAGATCACCGATGGGTTATCACAGGTGCTTACCCACAAATGCTCAAGAAATCCAATCTGTACTCCTTTTAGTAAGAGTGAGGCCTGTTTATTCAATTTGCAAAATCAGGCATCAGACCCAGCAGACACGGGCAGTGGCACTACATGGTTGGCCCACAAACAGTTTTATTTCCCTGTCTCTAAAAAACCCTACCCTCAGTTCCCCTTTTACTGGGTACATGGAATTTGCAGTTTGCCCCAAGGTCACCTACAAGTCCTTGCTGGAAGAATTCTCATTTAAAGTTAGTTTCCACCCCCTCCCCATGAACTTCCCCTATTTCCTTGATGTGTTCTTATTTTAAAGTTCCTAGCTGGTCAAACTAGTTTTTCCCCTCCACTGAGCTCCTTTTGTTATGTTAGCCTGCTGCCCCCCAAGCCTCCCCTCAGTCCTGAAGATGGACCAGGCCGCCCACAAGAGTTATTTATCACATAAGGAGCCCTTAGACTAGTAGCTTTTCATAGTGATGATTTACTAATCTGGCTGCTAGTGTATACCCCTTACTAAATGTCAGTAAATTAGGAGAGGGAAAGTGGTTCATTCAGTAGTTGTCTTGGAGTAACTATATGATTTTCCAGAATACCACAAATTGGTTGACTGAAAAGGACAGAAATCCATTCTATCCTAGTTGTGGAGACTAGAGGTCTGAAATCTAGGCGTCAGCAGGGCTGTTTTACTATCACTCTAGGGAAGAAGCCTTTGTCTCTGTCAACCTCTGCTGGTTGGTAGTGGGTCCTGGGTGTTCCTTGGATGGTAGCTGCATCATGCCATTCTCTGGTTCTGCGTCTCTTCTTACAAGGACATCAGGACTTGGAGTGAAACACTCCCCACCCCAATCCTGTATAATCTCATCTTAACATCTCCAAAGACCCTATTTCCAAACAAGGTCACATTCACAGGGACTGGTAGTAAGAACATAGGAGTCCTAGTGATGCACTGCTTGTCTGCTAACCAGAATGTCTGTGGTTCAAACCCACCAGCTGTTCTGTATGAGAATGGCCTGTTTATCTACTCCTGTAAAGATCAGTGTAGAAAATCCTATGGGGCAGTTGTACTCCACCACGTAGGGTTGATATGAGCCAGAATTGACTCGACAGCACCCAACACTAAAAAGAAATCCCGTATGAGCTCATCTGAATTTGCTAACATATACAAAGACCCTATTTCTAAATAAGGTCCTTCACAGGTATGGGACTTGGACACAACCATAATTCAGCTCGTTAGAACACCATCTGGATTTCGTGTCATGTGGCTTTGAGGTTCACCACCGGCCACTCCTTTGTCCTCATAGGGAGAGACACAGTCTCTTTCCGAGACTCCATGCCCCCTCCCAGCAGGGTTATAACTGGGACTTCTGCATTCTGAAGGAGACACAGCCTGGCGGTCCCTCTGTGAGCATGGCCCGCCCTCACGGCCACATATCAGCAGTCTCTGAAATTAACTACAGCACAAAAGGCCCAGAGTGTGTTTGGACTTATATTTAGAATTGCCATTGGAAATAGCCTTAGTCGAATGTGCCACCCATCTGTGCAGGTGTTTGGAGAGGAAGAGAGCTGGGAGGGTGTCAGAGTCACCTGAACCTCACTCCACCTTAGGGCTCCCTATCCCTCTGCCTAGTCCATGCTGCCTCAGCCACCCTGATCGCTTACTTCATGTTAGACTACCCTGGCTGAGAAATGTACCTCCCTTCAAACCAAAGTCTTTCTGGGTCTTCTGTCCACTGGCCTGTCCTCCAGCTCCCAGAATTCTTTTCGACCTTCCCACTGAGTCTACTTCCCAAGCAACAGCTCCTGTGACCTGCCTGCTTGGAGCACAGCAATATCCTCCCACATTCTCCGTGCCATACCTTTGATAATGCATCCTGAGACTGCCTGCAGTTCTGGATGATTCCTGATGAACAAAACATGTTGTGTATTTTTCATGTTGGCCTCTTTCACATTCCAGTATTTCATCCTGTTTTCTTTTTTTACAGTTGATTTTAAAGACAAACATGTGGATGTTGAGGTTTTATTTCTTTACATTTTAACTTGGTTGACTTTTCCATCTTTTGGAGGTCTATTTGGATACTTATTTGTGGTAGAGTTTCTGTTTTCTGAGTGATGTTAATGAATCTGCTCCTTGCCCCCCAGAGAAAAGTGGGGGTGGGGTGAGGGCAGGGATTATAGAAAGGTGTATTAGAGACATTCTGTGAGCCTTATGGCTCCCCTGAAAGCTGAGTGCTGTTGGACTCAGGTCCTCCTTCTGTCTCCCTGGGAAACCTGGCCTCATTGGCTATAGTCTTTGTCATGGTGCTGGACCTGGGGCGAGGGGCAGAGGGTGGATGCTGGTATCTTTGGTGTTGTTGTTAAGTGTCATCGAGTCAGTTCTGACCCGTAGGGACCCTGTATAGGATTTCTGAGGAGTGGCTGTTGAGCTTGAACCATCGGCCTTGCAGTCCAGCGCCACATTAAATTAAATCACAGTGCCACATCTCCTGATATCTTTGGTGGTGATCACTAATTAGCGTCCTGGTTCAGATATTTGCTCACAGAGAACCTGATAGGTTTGCCAACAGGACTGCAGGCACATGTTCATCCTGGCATGAACGTGAGTTCTCGGGAACCCCACACCCCGCAGGCAGTTCTGTGGACAGACCCAGAGTAGCTGGAGATGTTTGTGGGGCTTGTACTCTCTGGAAAGGGTAATTTCAGTGTACCCCAAATAGATAAAAATAGTCTCACCCATGGTGAGGGTGGGCTTAGCTATTTGTAACTTAAGACAGCTCCCGATTTTTTTTCTTGGACATGCATTCTTGGGAAGAACTGCACAGAACCCATGGAATCTTCTGGAAATTCTTCTGTCTTTAACATGGAGGCAAGCCCAGATATTTTTGTCTTACTTGTGAGACACAAACTGACAAGCCTTGTTAGCACAAAGATGGGCCTCAGTGTGGAAGACTTGGGCTGTTCACTTAGCAGTCTTTCTATGTAAAAGAACTGTAGTTCCTCCTAAGAACTGGGCTCACACTGCTTATTAATTGAGCAGCTTTGTTACTTCCCATCAACAGACTTCCCGGAACTGAGAGGCAACATCAGTAGGATTGGTTAGAAACAGGTGAGACCAGGGCAGGTACCTGTCTGAGGGAATGCCCAGTGGGACATCCCCTAGGCACCCTAGGCCTGGGAGTGTCACTGCAGCTGTTGATCTGTGGTTGAAGAAACCGAGGCCACTCGGAGAGGTGAAGCAGCGTTTCAGATTTTTTTAAGCTAGCTGGCTCCGAGGAGCTAATTTCTCCAGATTCTGAGCACTGAATGGAGGGCAACACAGGCTTATATGGGGTCAGACTCGGGGAGGGGCTAAGGTGCTGACCTATTTGAGGACAGAGGGAAACGAGGGGGATTGGTCCTGTTAGGTGGTGACCTGATTAACATTCTAGCTTGGAGGGTGGGGGTGGGAATTGGTCCTGCTCAGTAACCTGATTAACAGTCTAGCTTGTCTCCTGGTCTTAGGGGGTTGGTCCCATTCAGTAACCTGATAGTATTGGCGGGGAAGAGACAGTTACTGTTTCTACATTTTCCTGTTCAGGATTCCTGAACCATTCAGCTGAACCACATTCTGAAGTTTATGTGGATTTACTTGTGATGATTGAAAACCCTGTGGAGCACAGTTCTACTCCGATACCCATGGGGTGGCCATGAATGAGGTTGACTCAGTAGGTGTGAGAAGTCTACAGGTCTTTGCCCACGTGTTGGGGGATGGGGGTACACATCACACTTCCAGCAGGGCTAGGAAGGCATATATTGTCATTTTTTACTGGAACATCTGTGGAAAGGATCAGGAAATTTGTGTGGAATTGTCACAGATGCTCTTGGTTGTGTTGTCTCAAATAGACACAAAGAAACCAGAAGATGCATAAAACTTTCATGGCCTCTCTTTGCTTTTGTCCCGTTGTTGTGATCTGGTGCTGTTTGGAAGCTCACTGTGCCCGTGAAAACAGCTGTTGAAAGACTAAAAACACTGTCTGGATGCCTGTTTGGGATTCCTGGAGATGGGTTGGAATCTGCCACTGGAGAGTGACTGGATGGGGAGGCAGGAGGTGACCAAATGCAGTAGTCACATTTTAATGAAGTAAACCGGAGCTCTGATAATGTAGTGGTTATGTGTTAGGCTGCTAACCCCAAGGTCAGCAGTTCGAATCTACCAGCCACTCTGAGGGAGAACGATGGGGCTTTCTGATCCCTTAAAGGGGCATTATGAGTCGGACCCAACTCAACAGCACACAGTCACCACCAATGAAGAAAACTAGATAATGCAATTGCATGTAGATTTCTAAAAGCCTCCATTTATTGTCTCCTCTGTAGGTTGTACTCGGACTATCTGTACTTTGCGAGTTCCAATAAATCTGCAGAGGACTTCCATGAGAAAGTAGCCGAAGCCTTGCAGCTGTTTGAGAACTGCATGCTGGATTACTCCCTACGTGCCTGCGTCTACAACAACACCCTGAACAATGCCATGCCGGTAGGGACCCCTCTCCTAACCCACTGTTGGGTGGTTGTTATGCTAGTGGCAACTGGCTCTGGATTTTAGCATATCAATGCAAGCAAATGCAGCTTTGAGAGGTGGTGAATGCAAAACCAAATATTCACAGATGTAAAAATGGGAATAGAGATGGCCCATTTCAGCTGGTTCCCTCCCTCCTTTGTTCCCGCTTCTGCTCACCCACCATCACAATGCTGCCTAGTCCTCAGGAGGGAGAAGGGGGGGAGGGGGGGCCCTAGAGGACAATTGCCATTTCGTACAACTGGAGAAATACACCAGGCAATTAGAATTGGCAGTTGCTAAGACACCCGCCTCTCAGATAGCATAAAGCACATCCTAGCTAATGGTGGAGTGTTTTTGTGGCTTTAAAAAATGTACCTTATTCAGAGAAGCAGCGATGCCAGAGATGGGGGCAGAGATGGTGACGGGGAGAGATGGAGCAGCTGGGAACTCTAGACTCAAGGAGGGAGAGAGGCTGTGTGCTGATGGCCAGGGGGCAGGCTTGCAGGGTATGCCATTTGGTTGTTTGAATGGTTATATATTCCTGAGTGCTTCGGTGTACATTCAAAAAGCGCCAGAGGGAATGGAAGCAAATGCTGTTGAATGATAATGCATGGAGGGGATTGTAATCATTGCAATGAAACGAAATATGATAGAATGAATGTAAAGCTGCTGTCCTCCCCTGTAAACTTATCACTCAATTCACAATAAAAACTTTAAAAAAAAAAAAAAAAGTACCTACCAAGTCTCAGTTGAAAGATACTATCCATAATGTTTTCTCTAATTTTCCCTTCAAGAATGTCTCTGTAAGTTTCTTGCCTTTGCTCAAAACAAACTCAAACCCAAACCTATTGCTATCCAATCTGTTCTGACATACAACAACCCCATGTTGTTGTTGTTAAGGGCCATCAAGTCAGTTCAGGTTCATAGTAACCCTGTGTAGGGTTTCCAAGTAGCAACTGGTGGATTTGAACCCCCAATCTTGCACTTAGCACCACACCACCTCTGTAGGGTTTCCTTTTGTTGTGTAAGAAGGTGTGAATGGTAACTTCCTCACATGTTGGCCTGGGGGCTGGTTTTTCCTCTGCCTGGTCCTCACTCCCCTGCCCCCCATCGCGGGTGACTGTTATAAATACTTCTGCAGAATTAGGTACCAGTGAGCCTTCCCATGTTGTCACCTGCCTGGAGCAGCATCCCAAGCCCTGCGCCACTCAGCGTGGCCTACATGGGCAAGACAAGAACAGACAGTTTTTCAGGTGGAGGCTTGAGACTCCCCAGGGACACTGGGGAGTTACAGGGAGTGCTCACTCTCTAGCTTCAACCGAGGACTCTTACTGATTTAAGAATTGCCAGGGGAGGTAGGACTTCCGTAGGTGCAAAGGTGTAGGAAAGAGGCTTGTAAGCAGAGACAGGGAAGGCTTAAAGCAACGCTTAACCTTGTCTCCCTAAACAAAGACTTTGCTGGGGTTTAAAAAGTATCAGGAGAGTTCTGGTGTGGCACTGCTGGTCAATGCGCTGGACCACAAGGCCAGTGGTTCAGACTCACCAGACAACCCTCAGAAATCCTATACAGGGTTACTATGTGTACAATCCGACCCAACAGCACTTAATAACAACAACAAAAAATTTGGGTAGTCAAAAGACATCATGTTTATTCATAGGGATGGGTGGGAGTCTCTGGGAAATGGTCCATTTAGGAGGGGCCATGCTAATTGGGTTGGGGGCCTTCCTCTTTTTCACTGACCCTCCACTTTACCAAGCATGATGTCCCTCTCCAGGGACTGGTCCCTTCTGATAATATGTCTGAAGTATTGTTACAGCAATTTTAGATTCCAGAGTGTCACTGCAGTTTTGATCCTTCGTAGAAGAAACCGAGGCAACTCGGAGAGATGAAACAGATTTCAGATTTTATTAAGCCAGCTAGCTCAGAGAAGCTAATTTCTCCAGATTCTGAGCCCCGAATATAGGGCAGTGTAGACTTATATGGGGTCAAAATCGGGGAGGGGTTAGGTTGTAGACCTGTTTGAAGACAGCAGGGAACCAGAGCATTACTTCCGTTCAGTAACCTGATTAACATTCTAGTTTGACTCCTGGGCGGAGAAGGCAATGAATGTTATTACCTTTTCCTGTTCATTATGAGAGACATGTCTGGCCATCCTGGGTTCTAAGGAGGACACTGACTGCACTTCTTCCAACACAGATGTGTTTGCTCTTTGGGTAGTCCGTGGAACTTTCAGTTTTCTCCTCCAACACCATAATTCAAATGCATCAATTCTTCTACAATCTGGTAGGAGCAAACAGAACTTATTGCGAGATGTTGAGATGCGGGACTCTTAATTCAGACTCCTCCCAGGGGCTGGCATTCTCCTTTTCCCCAGTGGAAGGTTTGACCCTTAAAGTTATGCCTAGGGCACAAGGTAAACTAGTCCAACCTGTAAAATATCTCACTGTTGTTGAGTGCCATAGAATCGGTTCCAACTCATAGCGACCCTGTGTAGGGTTTCCAAGGAGTGGCTGGTGAGTTTGAATGGCAGACCTCATAATTCAAACACACCTTGGGGTCTAGTGCTTTATCCCACAGTGCCACATCAGGACTCCAAATATCTCACTGTGGTGGTGATGTGCCGTGGAGTCGGTTCCGACTCATAGCGACCCTGTACAGGGTTTCTGAGGCTGTAAATCTTTACTGGAGCAGAAAGCCTCATCTTTCTCCCATGGAACAGCTGGTAGTTTTGAACTGCTGACCTTGCGGTTTGCAGCCCGATTCGTAACCACTATGCAATATCTCACTAGGAAGTAAAAATACAGAATTTTTATGGATGATCTTCCTTAACGGCAAGTCCCATAGAATATGGAATTTTTATGGGTAGTCTCTCTTAATGGCATGTCCCAGGATGCAGGTGCTCAACTCTGGCCCTGGGCATGTCTTCCTGCCCAAGGAAGGAGGGTCATAGGCCTCAACATTCTTCAAGACTTCGGTTACAAGGTTTCAACTAATAAATGGCCCATGTTTAATTCTGATTTCTGGGCCCTCTTGTCCTATATCTCAGGAGTTCAAGGTCAAGAGGCTTTACTTAGGCTTCCTTGTTATCAAGGACATCTTATCTGGAAGGGGGAGTGAACTTTGGGCAGGATGCAGAAGACGCAGTCGATACAGATGACCACAGAAATGTGCCCAGGAAGGGGGACGTTGGGTGATTCTGGGTCATTGTCAGTTTCTCTGAGACCCCCATTTCCTCAGCCATGAAGTGGGGGTAATGATACTGCTTTGCTAGGTTGTTGTAAGGGTTAGAGATTGATTGTTGATTTGCTCATTCACACAGGGATTTCAGTATATGTTCTGGGGCTACAGGGTGATGGGAGGACAGGTGTGGTTTTGGCTGTTGAGTATACTTAACACAGGAGTTGCGGCTAGCAGCAGAGACCACCTGAGACGGTGCATCAGGGAGGCCTTCCCAGAGGAGGTGTTGTCTGTGCTGAGGATGAATTGACCAGGGAAATCTGGGGTAGGGGAGGTGGCAGCCAGTGTCCAGGTGAAGAGAGCAGCACTTGTCAAGGCCTGAAGGCGTCGTGAGGCTTGTAAGAGGGAAGCATTTTGTGTGGCTGCAGCACAACCCACGTGGCAGGTGCGGTGCTGGCTGAGGAGACAGGAGTGAGGGACGGGCCAGTGAGTGGGTTCCATCCCCAGGAGCTGGATGAACTTGAAGAAGAGAGTTTATCCTGACAGACCTGGGACCCCATGGGAGGGTGCTTGGGTTGTTCTCAATGTAGATGCATGTGTGTCCCCTGTGTATCTCCTCTGTGTCCCCATGTGTTCCCTGTGTCCCCCGTGTTTCTCCTGTGTGCTATCCGGGTACCCCCTGCATGTCCCCATGTGTCCCCTGCATGTCCCCCATGTGTGTCCTGTGTGAGTCTCCCACATGTTCCCTGTGTCCTCCGTGTGTGGGTTCTGTGTGTGTCTCCCATGTGTTCCCTGTGCCCCCTGTGTATCTCCTGTGTGCCCCCTGCATGTCCTCGCATGTCCACTGCATGTCCTCATGTGTGTCCTGTGTGAGTCTCCCACGTGTTCCCTGTGCCCCCCTTGTATCTCCTGTGTGCCATCAGGTGCCCCCTGAATGTCCCTGCATGTCTCCATATGTGTCCCATGTGAGTGTAGTGGTGAGGCTGATGTGGATGGAGGGTCTGATGGTCCTGACATCACAGTTTTGTGGGCACTGAAGCTCTAGTTGAATCCTCCAGCATTCATCAAACTCTATGCAAAGAAAGCGAGGGAATTCCTGAGCATTATTAAGTGACATGATTTGAAATCCAAGCAAACTAATTGCAAAAACAAGTTTGCAGCATCATCATTGGTCCCCCCACCAGGTCATGAGCCCGAGAGGGAAAGAGGGCATGGGAACGTTCTGCCAGGCCAGTGGTTGCCCCATGCATGTCAGTGATTCCTTAGCATTGGCAGCAACACACAGACATGTTTCTGCGACCAGCACAGGCTCCTTCTCTCTTTAGGGCTCCTTCTCTCTTTAGCGTGAGGCTATGAAGTGTGGGTTGGATGCAGCTAATGAATTTTGAAGGTAGCACATCTCCTCTAATGGTTTTTCTTCCTCCTTAACCTCCCACGTGGTTAGAAAAATGATGAAATGGAGCAGGAATAGTGAGAGGTGAAACTAGTTCGTTTAAGTACGTGTGTTTTGTCACATGTTTCATAGTCTCATCGCTAATGGAGCATTAGAGGAAACTCCTGGGGCTGGGTGGGACCAAAGCAAAGCAGTGGCCCTTCCCTGCCTTTAAGGATGAGCTGAGAAGAGAAGATAATATGATGGAAGAGTATGCAAACAGATAGAAGGCTAGGAGCTGGGAGGTGACCCACATGGAAAGGGCTGAGTTGCTCGTTCAGCCAGACCCAGGACTCTGTGTGTAAAGTCACTGGAGGCTTGGAGTCGGGACAGGCTGTGACTGGGCCAGTGTGGGCAGAGACTGGAGGTGGGGCCTGAGCAAGGGGAGCAGCTCTGAATTCGGAGAGGTTAGAAATGGCATGTGGAGCAGAGTCTTTGACCGTGTGGGGAGAGGTGGGGAGAGTGGAGGCTCTGGAGGAGGGGTCTCAGCAGTGTTGGTCAGAACAAGCTTACTCGCACTTACTAATCTCTGGTTGTTGTTGTTAAGTGCCCTAGAGTCGATTCTGACCCATAGCGACCCTGTATAGGGTTCCCGAGGAGCAGCTGTTGAGCCTGAACAGTCATCCTTGCAGTTCAAATGGCTTTACAGTGTGGCACATTAACCCACAGTGCCACACTAGGTCTCTGGTAGACCACAGCAAAGATTCTGTTTCTAAATCTGGCCGACGTCTCTCTCTCTCTCCCAACCCCACAGTACCTTCCTATCCAGTAAGCAAGGTAGACCTGGGCACCACCTCATAGATGTGGTGAAACCCATATGAAACTGTGGAGGGCAGATTAGTAAGCACAAGTAAGCCAGTGCTTACCTGGTTGGCTGGGTCCTCTGTCCCTGCCAGAAATTATAAATACGAAAAGAGGCTTTGGTTCCATTAGAAGGTACTGTGGGGTTGGGAGAGAGACAGATGCCAGCCAGAACTAGGAGCAGAATCTTTATTCATTAGAGATTAGTGAGTAAGCACAAGAAAGCCTGTGCTTATCTAGCTTACTGGGTACTTGGCCCTGGGCCTGAGAGAGAAGGGGGAGTACCGTGTAAGTAGAATGGAGAAGCCAGTTACTGTTCAGAAGTGCACACTCTGGTTGTGGGTGGCTCTGTGGAGACTGAGGTAGTGGTAATGGTGGGTGTCCTCATGGTCTCTTGCGCTCCAGGGGCCAGAGGAGTAGCAGTGGGTGCCAAGAGGCCGGCAGGGATGCTGCAGAGACCACTTCAGTTGTTTCTGTTGGTGTGGCCAAGGTATACCAACATGGTGTGGAGCTGCCTCCTGGGTCTTTGTGAGGATTACATGCCACTGGGTGCGCCTGACCCAAGCCATGGTATTTTCAATAACCTCATATACATATGAAAGCTGGACAGTGAATAAGGAAGACCATAGAAGAGTTGAGGCTTTTGAGTTAGGGTGTTGGAGGAGAATATTGAAAGTGCCATGGGCTGCCAAAAGAACCAATAGATCCATTTTGGAAGAAGTGCAGCCAGAGTGCTCCTTGGAGGCCAAGATGGCCACACTTGTTCTCTCATACTCCAGACATATTTTCAGGAGGGACCAGTCACTGGAGAAGGATATCATGTTTGGTAACGTGGAGGGTCAGAGGAAAAGAGGATGGACGACCCCCCCAACAAGATGGATTGGCCAAGTGGCAGCATTGATGGACTCAATCGTGGCAACAGTAGTGAGGTTGCCCCAGGATTGGGCAAAGTTTCATTCTGCTGTGCATAAGGTCGCTATGGGTCGGTACCAACTCGATGGCACCTAACAACAACAACAAGGTAGCTCAAGTTAAGTGCTTGGTTACTAACTGAAAGGTTAGTGGTTCGAGTCTACCCAGAGGCACCTAGGAAGCACTTGATAACTGTGGAGCACAGTTCTACTCTGACACTCGTGGAGCCTTCAGGAGTCTGAGTTGACTCAGGGGCGACAGGTTCCATGTGTGCAAACGCTTTCTCCACATATTGCACAAAGCCAGCACGATAAAACAAGAACGCTTCCCTGAAAGTAACCGATCACTAGTCAAACTCCTTTGTATTGTCTGATCATGAAATACCCAATTATTTTTTGGGAAAACAACATCTTCCAGTGCAAGGGACTGGGTTTATTCTTGACGTCATCCCTCTGCCTTCTTTGTCCCAGGTGAGGCTCCAGGTTGGACTGTACGCCGTGTATCTCCTGGACTGGTTCCGCATCTTCAATAAAGAGCAGTTCCTCATCCTTCGCCTGGAGGACCACGCGTCCAATGTCAAGTACACCATGCACAGAGTCTTCGAGTTCCTGAATCTTGGTAGGGGTACTATGCTGTGGGCAGGAGTGGGCGAGGCTGTGGACACTGGTCTTCAGGAGGTCCCTGAGTCTGGTGTGAGCTGTGCACACAGTGGCTGGACTGAAAGGCCGATTCAGCAAGATACTCACCAATGTATAGTGAACAGTTTTACATTTTTCACCACATCAAAGACCAAAAAGATGTGGTGAAACCCATGTGAGACTGTCCCCGTCCCTGTCACCCACACCATACCAACCAATCCCAGTGCCTTCCAGTCGGTTCTGACTCATGGTGACCCCGTATAGGGTTTCTGAGGCTGTAAATCTTCGTGGGAGCAGAAGCTTCGTCTTTCTCCCATGGAGCAGCTGGTAGGTTTGAACTGCTGATCCTGTGGCTAGCAGTTCAGTGCTTATCCTACAGCGCCACCAGGGCTCGATCAGGGATTGTTGTTAAATGCCACCGAGTCGGTTCTGACTCATAGCAACCCTGTATAGGGCTTCCAAGGAGCAGCTGGTGAGTTTGAACCTCCAACCTTGTGGGCCAGTGCTTTATCCCACACCAGGACTATTAGAGATTATCAACTTGAAAAGAAGATTGGATTCTGTAAGAAGGTGCTGGGGTATTGGGAGACAGAAAGATGCCTTTAATGTGGTGAAAACACGTGAAATCGCTCACTATAGATTAATAAGTAAGCACAAGTAAGCCTGTGCTTACCTGTTCAGCACCTGATTCTCAAGTCTCAGCTGCATGTGCTTCTCAGGGGAGGGAGAAGTGGGCTTCCTGGGTGAAATCAGGCTGCAGGGAAGTGAGAGGGGAAGGCACATCTCCGACAGCAGAGCCCTGGGAGGCGGAGGTGGAGGTGGAGGCGTAGACAGAGGTGAGCCCCTCAGGGCTACGGGCACAGCCGAGTGGAATCCTGAGTGGCCACAGAGATTCTGCAAGACCTCAGGGTAGAAGGATGGAGAAGCTCCCAGTGAAGGGCAGGGCAGTGAGTGGACAAGTCATTGCACTGTCTAGGTGGTGTTGGGGACCGCTGGCGTTAGAGCCATGTAGTTGGGTTTTAGCCGATGGGCTAAGGAAATTTCCCATAGCCTGAATCCCTAGTCGCCAGCATCCTGAGTGGTGTTTGTGGGACTGACCAGGCTGCTGACCGTGCCATTGGCTGGGACATGTGGACACAGAGTCAACTAGGATCCGAGCCAGCTGTGTCCCTTCCCAGAGGCTGTGGGTGGAGGTAGTGACTCCAGGGTCATGAGGTTACAGAGTGTATGGTAACTGGTGATGCTCCCTGGTCCCTCTCCTTACGTCCTTGCTGAGGGTCTCCACCCAAGGGTCTCCTGGGTCCCGGACAACCTCTTTTTCCCCCTCCCTCCCTCAGCCGCCCCAGAGCAAAGTGAAGTAAGGCCTGACCACTGGGCCTTTGCACCTGCCACCTCTTAGTAGACAGAGAGCTGGCAGAACCCTGGGGACTGGTTAGTCTGAAGTCTAAACAGGCAGTACACAGCAGGTGTCGCAGTTGCCCGAGGGCCAGCTGATGATCAACATCAGCCCATTAAAACCCAGTGCCATCCATTTGATTCCGACTCACAACAACAACCTTCTGGGACTGCTCTTTGGGGTTTCCCAGACCATCAGAGAGCTTCCGCTTTCCTGAGGAGCAGTTGTGGTTTCGAACCAGTGGCCTGCATCCCCAGGTCTCTTTGGCCCGTTAAAGGCTGTTGGAAATGAAATCAAGGTCAGCCTCAGTGAAATATGAGTTACTGTATCCTGGCTGGGCTCCCCCAAGGCTTGCATTAAAAATTAGAGATAGGATTCCTCCATTCTTGGATGATTGTCTTTTCTCCTTCTGCTTCCAGCTGCTCTGAAATGGACCCAGCTTCAGAAACTTTTACCTCAGACACGTTCTTCATAAGGCTACTCCTGTCTTAGCACAACAGAGAGGGTGTCTCTGCAGTGTCTTCTCACCTTGCTGCCTGCCTCACAACCTTCTGTTCTTACTGCAGGGCCCTTGAGTGAGAAGCAAGAAGCCCAGATGACCAAGAGCCCCGCCTCAAATGCACGGCGCCCTGAGGACCGGAACCTGGGGCCCATGTGGCCCGCCACCCAGAGGATACTACAAGACTTCTATGGGCCGTTCAACACTAGGCTGGCACAGGTCCTTGCCGATGAGGCGTTTGCATGGAAAAAGACATGAGGGCTGAATCCCTGCTGCCAACCCTGTGTCCCAGAGGACGACAAAGTTATCACTCTTATTTTTAAGTTTCCCTTTGCAGGGAACCGGTTTACTCATTGAGGTGAAAACCCCAGGGCTCGAGGCTTCTTGCCCGCTCTATGGCCATGTTTCACTATAATCATTTTAGGATTGAATTCCTTCAAGATGTTGAATAGCCCAGCAACGGACTCCTCATGAGGCCATTGGGAACCCACTTCTGCAAGAACTCATGTCTGTCTGCTCCCCAAGAATGCAGGGAGCTCGGGGTGGGATGCTTCTGGCCAACCTGGTGCTGGTGTGGAGACCTAAGGAAGTATTGAGAAGGTGCAGCCTTGCCTGCCTTTGGGCGAGCCGCATCTGGGGTTTCTGGTTCTAGGATCTGATCAAGCAGCCAGAGGTGGTACCTAGAAGTGTGCCAGGAACTTAAACTTTGTACGCACTCTTGAAACACATCTTTGCTTAACTCAGACACATTTGGGTGGAGGGCAGAGACGCTTTCATCATTTTCCTTTTACTCCAGGGCTAGCCCTTTGGCCTCTTCAGATCCAGCCTTGTTAATGTCACTCTTTAATGAGAGGAAAAGTCAATCCGTTGGTGGAAGTGTGTCCATCTCTCAAACCCCTTCCCTCCCTGGGTGTTGAAGTTGCCTTTCTGTGTTTACCCCGGGGGAATGAATGTGTTTAAAACAAACCACACTCTGCATTTAACTGGCCACAGAGCTCTTCTTCCACTTTAAAAGTATTCTCAATTCCATTTCTAGTCTGAAGAGAAATTTTGCCTGCCAGTTCCAGAAAGAACAATTCCCAGGAATTGTTAATGGAAACTCCAGTAACTGAAGCTCTTGGCACAGGCACAGGGTCATCAAAGAATTGGGTGGGTTTCACAGGTTCGTTCTGGCTGGTTTCAGGCCAGCATACCCCTTGGAACACGTCTCTTATCCACATTCTCCGTCGTGGTGTGGCTGAATGTCCTCACTCAACTACCAAACTGCAGCATACTTGTATCCTGATCCAGAAACGCGAGGCATGAGGTCAGCTCCGGCGGAACGAGGGCTGTTTGGATGTGGAAGGAGCTGTGCTTCATGGAACTTTCTAGGCCACCTGGCAGTTTGGTTTGCCGATGGACAGGCATAGGTCTTGCCATTCGTTGGAAGTGATGTGAACACTTAAACCTATTTGGCACACAGCCCCAGAGAGCTTTGTACTCAAGTGTTGTCGAGGGAGGCTTTCCATGAACCAAAGCTCTCAGGTCAAGGCCATGGACACCAAAGTCAGAGAGTGCAAACGTCTACGTGCTGAACTGTATTTCCCGCGTCTGCTCCCAGGCTTGAGGCTTTACAGTCCCTCCAGCCATGGGGCAGCTGAGGTGGGGTGCGCAGTCCACTTGAAGGCGTGTGAAGGGCTGGGTGATGTCCTGAGTGACACTACTCTCCCCCTCCCCCCCCCCAACGTCGTCATTCCCTGGAGCAACAGCCAGTGGGAACTCCTGGCTAAAGCACAAAGATGCTTGGGAGAGCCCTCACGTGGAAGTGTGTGTGTTTATTTGCAATATTCGGGATGTGTGCATGTGTGTGCACATGTGGGCACGTTTTTTAGTGAGGCCCTTTCAGTTCAGTTCTGTATCTGTTGAGACTCCTTCACTCCAGACACGATCTTTTCATCGCTGAATGTCCCTACCCGTTAACTTGTCATTTTAAGCACATATTCTACTCTTTTACACCAACCACAAGCACCGCGAGGGGGCTTTCTTGCACACTCCTATGCATGTGAATAACATGTGAGATTATAATTCTGCTTCTTACAGAAGTATTACCGAATTGTATTCTTTCCAATATTATTTGGTTTATTATACAGATCTTTTTATACACGCAGGCCTATCCCTTCTGTGCCAATGAATGCCGTCAGACACGGGTTCTCTCGAAGGGCTGTTTGTCGAGAGACTTGATTCTGACAAGGGGGCCATGTGAGGCAGCGTTCCTCTTGCCTGTCTTCCCAAACCAAAGCTCAACAGGTCATTTCTCACAACTTGGTATTGACGCAACTTTGTGTTCCCAGAAGCTGTGCGTGGGACTGTAGTAAACTGTACTCCCTTAGTCGTGTGAGGTATGTTAAGTGGGCCACGCCACGATTCTGTGTACTTTTATTACTATTTAACATAATTAAATATGAATCCATATAACTCTTGCCTACAGACTGGGTGTTTTCCTCTTCCATAAAAGCGCTACCTGGGGTCTGATGTGTGTGAGGCGACAGGTAGAAGTTTTTTACGTCTCACCTATGTACACCGATCCCTCCTTATGGACTCTATGAGTAACCAGGCAGTCAGAGGGAGGGCTCAGAAGGCACTTGGGGCTGTGAGTCTGGCCCACAGGCGTGGTGCATTGTTTTCACATTGGAGCTGGGAGGTTGGGGAGGGGATGGCCCAGCACTTGCTTAGGTACTGCAGGTCCCACTGCTCCTCCGTGTGGGTGGGCCCTAAACCTGATCAATTCTGAGAGGTGTCTTACAAAAAGAGTGTGACAGATAGACACACACTGGGTGGGGAGGGGATAGAAGACACCTGAGCAAGGAGGCAACTACATGTGTAACTCAGAACTCCAAGACCTGTGTGTCTCTTTCTAGAACTGGGGACCAACCCAAGAATCCAGGGGACACTCACCAGCCAAGCTGGTCCAGGGATTCAGATCCCTGAGCCTAAGATAACCTCTTTCTTCCACTAGTCTTGCCCCACCCCAAGTGGCAGCCAGTGAGCATTAGCCTGGCTGCCATCTGCATGCTGAGTGTCTGGGGTCACTGACATTCACCCATAGCCTCCAGGGACCAGGCAGGAGGCCACATGCATGAGTGAAGCAGACACGAAGGGGGGGGGGGGCTAAGTAAGTGATGTGCCATCCCCACTCTGGTTAAGGAGTCCTGGTGTGGCGCTGTGGGTTAATGCGCCAGACTGCAAAGCTGCTTGAAATGCAAGGTCGGCAGTTCAAGCTCACCAGGTGCTCCTCAGGAACCCTATACAGGGTCGCTATAGGTCAGAACCGACTCAATGGCATGTAACAACAACAACCACACTGGTAGGACCTCATAACAAAAGAAAACTGCCCCCCACCTCTGCCTCATCTGGGTTCCAAACAGGGTCATGTTCAACAGTACGGGAGCAAGGACAATCACGTTTCTTTGGGGGAGACTTTGACATTTCTTTCTCAGCTCCCCAGCATTGCCTTCCACAGTGACATATTGGGGGCCGATGGTGTTCCAGGTATGGTAACAAGAACCCCTGTGCCTGTAAGGAGGAAGAGAGGTGGGGTAGGACAGCACCCACCCCTACCACCAAACTCTCCCAAGCCCTGTGGTGTATGGCCGCCCACCCCACTCAGCAGCCAGCTCAGGGAAGATGATGGTGCTTTGCTAGGTAAGTCTTGACCTTCTTGGGAAGCAAAGGCCATGCTCGGTGGAAGAGCCACACAACCAGGTGCAGTGTGTGGGAGGCATTTCTGCCAATCTTGAAATCTCACTCAGGGCCAGCCTCTTGCCAGTAAGTGAGGCCAATCCTGCCGAGATTCCTAGACATCATCTCTGGGATGAATCCAATTCCCCAGAACTCCACCCATGGTTCCCTGTGGAGCATCCTTGAGAGGGGGGTCCTATAGGGTGGAGGTCACATGGCCAGAGCAGCAGTCCATCCTTGTGAGGTATGGGCTGCTGACTGCAAGGAGGCTCACAAACCTAACGATGTAAAAGAAAACACAGTCCACACTTAGTCACTAACCAGAAGCTTGACAGTTTGAACCCACCCAGCGGTACCACAGAAGAAAAGTCTGGTAATCCTTGTGAAGGAGACAGCCTTGTGAGCAGTTGTGTACCTCATGAGGTCGCCGTGAGTTGGAACAGACTCAAGGGCAACAGGGCTTTTGGTGTTGGGGGAGGGTGAAGTGGTTAGAGGCTTAAACAATGTACAAACATTGTCTTACGGGTCCTGGAAGTCCAAATCAGTTCCTTAGCCATAAAACCAAGGTGTCAGCCCAGCTGATTTCTGCCGTAGTCTCTAGGGGGGAATCTAGCTTCAGGACGTGGCCAGCATTCCTTGACTTGTGGCCTCTCCTCTGCCTTCCCAATGTCACATCTTTAGGTCTCTCCCTGCTTCTTTCTGCTTCCACGTTCACGTCTTCTCGGGCCCTGTGACGGCATTGGGCCCACTTAGATCACCACTGTCATTTCCAGAGTAAGGTGGAAATTTGGAGTTTGGAAATTTTGACCGGGAGGTCTTTGAGGGTTGACATTAGGCACCTCCAGGAGGATATTCCAGGGAGCAGGTTGGGCCACCGACAGATGGAGTGGGTGCCCACGTGCCAGTGCTTTGCAGCTCCAGCTTTGTGGCCCCAGCAGATCTGAAGGGGCAGACAGACTGCTGGGCTTCTAGACAAATCCATTCTGATAAGACCCTGTGATTGGTGAAACTGGGCAGGAGTGAGGCAAAAAGGCACCTCTCTTCCCAATCCGAGCTGCAAGTCACCCTTGTGTTGTTTCCCTAAAGCCCATCATCTTGTTTCTAAGTGGGAGCCAAGTGCCCCCTCACACAGGACTGCGTCTCCAGTTCTGGATAGAAGTGATTGTGAGTGCTGACAAGTTACTTTCTTGTGAAGAATTTCTCTGCTTCCCAGGAGACCCAGCTCTGCCACACAGATGGTTTGAGTTTCTGAAGTTCAGCTGAAACAAACTTCAAAGGGAGCAACCTGTGAACCATTCAACAAGAGAAGGTCTTCTGTTCCCTAGAGCATCCTCCAGTCTCATGTGATGGCTTAGACCTCACTGTCCTCAGCCCCAGGCTGCCCTGGCTGAACCTCCTGAATCTCGTCTGTCAGATTGGACCCCTGGTCCAGCCATCCTGCTATGATCACCCCCATCCTCATCCTCTTCCTTTGTAAACCTGCTCAGGTGATGGGCGTAAAGAGAGAGTGTTGTAGATGATGGGCAGACAGGGCCGTGGGC